CGGGGGACGCCCCTCACAAAACACGCCGGCAGAAGCGGCAACGAAAAGGGTGCAGGCGGCCTCCGTCTGTCTGTGCGGGAATAAAAGAAAAGAAGAAGACATGCGGGCCACACAACACCCTCCACTCCCCCCTTTAAAAAAGAAAAAAAAAAAAAAAAGGCAGGGATGCAGCCACAGAAGCAAAAATAAAAATAAAAATAAAAAAAAGAGGTGAGAAACACACAAATAAAAAAGAGAAAACAAAATCACATGTATGCATTTAACATAACAAAACAAAACAAAAAAAACAAACATTTTTTTTTTTATAAGAAAACAGCAACAACAACAAAAAAAAAGAAAAGAAAAAAGCCTTCACTCTCACACAGAAGTACAAATGCCAATACATAAATATATATATATATGTGTGTGTGTATCCATTTATATATGAATACAATGAGGGGAGTAACACAAGACATTTATGTCCCGTGCAAAACAGTTGTGCTGCACTCGTGCCACTGACCCAAATACACACTGTTTGTAATGTATGATATTCCATTGCATGTGGTGTCGTGTGTGTATGTGTAAAAAAAAAAAAAGAAGAAGGAGGAGGAGAAGGAGGGGGTGGTGGGAGGGGAGGGCAATCCTTCTCATTTTCTATTCATGCATGCACTCTTTCTCTAGTAATATAAAATACATATTTTTATTTAATATTTATCTTCTTCCTCTTCTTTCTCTTATTATTATTTATTACGGCAACAGTTTTATGTTCGTTTGGCTGAATGCACAACACCTACCACCCACCCACCCACCCCCTTTCCTCCTCTTAGTTTGTTCTCATGCAACCCTCACTCCCTCCCACGCCCACACGTACACGCTAACTTTTCTCCCGTCCCCTCCCCCTTTTTTTGGAAGAGGAGGAAGGTCGAGGGTGTTGGGTGTCCCCACGTACGTTCGTTCCCAGCCCCCCGCAGTCACACCTGCCCTCGCCAAAAACACAACCATACAAATGTCCATAATAATAACAACAAAAAAAAAACTGCCAAATATAAATGCACGGCAGGGTGAGAAGGGAAAAAAGAGAGAAACCGGAGGACCACGCACATCACACCACAATGAGAGAAAAATAAGAGCCCTGTTGTATTCAACTTCAACACAATCTTCATTTTCATTTTCATTCTTTTTATTTTCGTTTTGTTTTGTTTTGCCTTTCGAATTAGTGGAGAAATTATTCCGTGCTGTTGCCTCCGTGGAAGTAAAGTGAACGGCGCAAAAAAAAAAAAAAAAGCCCCAACAACCCCGTGCAGCAGCCACCATTTCGTCGTGTCCCTCACAGTAACAACACACGCACCCTCACACAAATAGCCGTCTGAACGCATGTACGCATGGATGTCTACTGCGAGAAAAGGGAATTGCACCCTTACTCCCGCCCAGTAAGCACCGGCGGATTGTGACCGGGAACACACACAAAAAAGGAAAAAAGAAAAAAGAAGAGCAGAGCTTGATTCAACTTCCAAAGTAAACAAATAAAGAAAAGAAAAGAAAAAGAAGGGAGGAGGGATATAGAGAAAAACCAACGCCTCAACTTACCCCCGTGTCCATTTCCCCTCTCATTCCTTCTTATTCTCAATGTGCGTGGGTCGAGCCCCTCTAATTTTGAATTTGTTTTTTTTTTTGTTTTTTTTTGTTTTGTTTTGTTTTTTTGTGGCAGGGAGGGCGTCCGCGTTTTATTGACGCCCGCACTTTCCTCCTCCACATTTCATCCTTCTCTTTCCTCCTCCACGACACAGTCCGCAATTCACATGCACAATTCAATCTACTCCTGCGCGTTTTTTTTTATTTATTTTTTGTTTATTTGTTCCTTCCATTTTATTTGTCTCCCCCTTTCCGTCGAAGCCGCGCAGTTGAGTGCGTGTGGGTGGGTGTCCGTTTCGGTGGAGCGGGACGTGATGGTTGGCTCCCCTGCAACACGCACCCACACCGGCGTCAACTGAAGAAAAGGGGACAACAACCATTTAAAAAAAAAAAAAGGGAAAAAAGGAAATTCACTCGTATATATATATTACACACGTTCATTAGGCAGCTTTATAGTCAACGGTGCAGAGAGTGTCAGTAAAGATGGCCACGCGCTCTGCATGCGTTCCCTGTAACTGTGGTGCAGCGGGCCGTACCCCCTTTTCAGTCGGCACGTGAATTTGTTCCCAACGGTGAGGCGTGCATCGTTCACCCCGCAAGTCCCCTCATCCCCTTTCCGCCCGCAGCTCATCATCCACAGTGTGGAGAAGCATTCCTTTTCTTTTTCCTCTTTTCTTTTTTTTTCTTTTTTTTTTTTTTTTGCTGCTGGTGCCGTCAAGTCACCCGCACGCTGCCGCTCAGCAAATACATCGTCGCACTCCCGTTAACAACCAATGACAGCAACCGCCGGGTTCTTCATCAAAAACAGCATCACCACCCCCTTTTGCACCCCATACCACGGAGTGAATGTCTATTGAGCTCTCCCCCTCCTCAATGATATGCTTGAACGTCCTCTAAAACTTTAGCTTTTCTTTGCAAGCATGAGCGTTGTAGATAATCTGCGGCCCGGCGGGCACGATGCATGACGTCTCGGCGGTTGATGTGCGGACGTCCCTCTAATACCACGCGCCATACCATGACGCAAAAGCCCGTCGGACTTTTTGGGTTGTTGCATTGCATGCAAAGCGGTATTTGGCGTAACAGCCCTAGGCTTTTCTTTTTCGATGCGCCTTGCACGTAACTCGGCTGTGGCTAGTCGTGGGGCGGAAGCAACGACGGTGCGATAATACATCTGCCTTGCCCTCGTCATTGTGTCATGTTGATCCTGCAACTCCTTCATAAACCGGCGTGATCGCGCATGAAAGTGGCCGCCTGGGACAGAGGTGGGGGTTTGTTTGGAGGTCAAGTGCTCACGATCCCGGGAAAGGCTGTAGCCTGACGTGCCTACGGCAGGCGAAAGACGCGCGCCCTGCACATTCCTGCCGTCGTCCAGCGACTTTCCACATCGATTTGGTGATACCTCTCGTTGTCTCAGAAACTTGGAAAGGTTCTGACGTGGCATTGGCATCACCGTCTCAGAGGCACGTCTCATCGAATTGGACTCATGTTCCCCCACCTCCACCTCCACCGCATTCAGAGAGCGCGGCTCGGCAGTCGCACCCACAGGACAGCCAAGCTGCATGGGCGGCTGGACGATGAGAGGAGCCTTACCCTGCCCGACCTTCATCATGATTTCATTCCCCGCAGAGCCGCGGCCACTACTCGCCTTGCCGTTCGCTTCTTTCGTCTCAGTGGGAAAAGGCAGCTCCTCGCCCCTCTTGGCTTCCGGTGTGACTACACGACAGCCCTCATCGGGGCTGTACAAATGCGTGACGTACTCCGTCGCTGTGAGAAATGTCTGACCGCAGCCCGCACAGAGAAAACGACTGCCTGGGCATGCATTCATCAAATGCTCTCGCATGTCAAACGGGGAAAATGAAGCCCCACAGCCAAGACACGGCGTCATTTTTGTACGCTTGCTGCACGTGTACGCGGCGTGTGCGCCCAACTTTGCCGCCTCTACCCCCACGCCGCAGTCCGGGCAGCTCACTATTTCTTGACCGCAGCGCATGATGTGCGCAGCGGAACCCAGACGACGACAGTAGGGGCATGTTCTAATGGACGCGGGCAGAAGCGACCTTTTGGCTACGGATGTCTCCTTCGATGGAGCGGAGGACTCCCCACCGGTGGTTCCGCTGGCCGCCGTGTCCGAGTAATGTTTCTTCATTTCACTTCCCCGCATCCCCCTCCTAACAAAAAACACACAAAAAAAAAGAATGACAAACTAGTGAAAAAGAAAGAGAGAAATGAGGAGACAACAAAAGAAAAAATGAGGCATGCAAAAAGTCGTAGGGAAAAAAAAACACACAAAAAAATACAAACGCTGCCCTCCGTACACACCCACGCACCGGGCCACAGACATGAAAATCGCAGGCAGGCAGCCAAAACAAAAAAAGAGCGGATGGTGCAACTTCACTTCCGCATTTGAATGCCCAAAGGGCAAGAATCAAACCGTTATACGGCCACACGCAAAAAAATAAATAAATAAATAAATAAATCATAAACGCGCACTTCTCGTGTTTTTTTTTTTACCTTCACCTGTTATTTCCCCCCCCCCCCCCCCCCCTCCTCCTGCCGCAATGCCTCATGTGTGCAGTAATCCCACATGACTTTCTCGACGCTCATGCAGCAAAACTATTTTTTTTTTGTGGGGAGGGGGGGGGAATTTATTATGGCATGACGCACTAAGCCCCTGTTAATGGCCGATCGCCTGTCGACCGTCCCTGCGCTCAGAGAAGACCTCCTCCCATGCATCGCCGCCTTGGAAGCACAAACATTAACAGCGGACACTGGCAGAATAGAGAGAAAAGTTGTGTTGGTCCAATAGCCGTAAAACGTTTGAAAGTTTACACCGACGTGCTTCACTCGTATTTGTGTGTCTCCGTGAGTGTTCTCCATAAAAATTATAAGGGCGCATGCAACTCCAGCCCATACGCAATTTTGTGGGGAGCTCCTCCGGAGGCATTCCAATCATTTGAATCTCCTCGTGACGCATGTACGAAAAGAAAAATAAAAAATAAAAAATAAAATCCGTTAAGAAACAAATATTTCCTTTGAGTCCATTCATTTAAAATAAATGTGAATACAAAGAGGGCCATAAAGTCATCGACATAAATAAATAAATAAATAAATAAATAAAAATGTCAAAGTCCACACATAATAAAAGTATTTTAAGCTGCAAGAAACAACAATACCAACAAAAGTAAGCCTTCTTCTCTTTCTTATTATTGTTCTTCCTGTGATCAACTGGGGGGAGGGGGGGCAAAAAGGAAGAAAAGAAAAAAAAACCGGATTTGTTTTATTTATGAAAACATTCGGCAAAAACGATAAAATTGCAATTCAAAATAAAAAAAGAAACACCGTTTCTTTCATGTCTTGTTTTTGTTTTGTTTTGTTTTTCTTACGGTCGTTCATGTTTTGGGCGTAAAATCAAATGGGCCCCCCTTCACTCTTGCGGGCGGCTCATTGCGCCAGGGACGCCAAATTGCCCCACGCCTGTATACATTGCCTGCGTTCCGGCCTTTCGGGAGAGCAATGCGGGGTCTCTCGGCCGGGGTGCTCGCATGTGCGTCAAGAAATTCTCCTGAAATTGCCGCGGCGTCATCTACACGACGTCGCAGCGGCAAAAATCCAAAGCGGTACAACGTGTACGAAAGGGAGTAACACTTTGGGAGCAGTGCGGTGAGTTCGTCGCCCTCTTCAATGTCCTCCACGGCCCGAATAACAGCGCAGCGGGTTCCACGTCCCGCAGTTCCCTCATGCTCCGCGGCAGGCGGAAATTCTACGGTCACCTCCGTGTTGGCCACCCCACCTGGGGGATGCTGCAGCATGTCCAGCACCGGCACCACAGACGCAATGGTGTGAGGATCAAATTCATTCACAGCGGCACGTTTATGATCAATCACACCAAAAACGCGATCCAGGAGAGTCCATCTAACACTGCTGACAAGGCGTGTCCATGCGTCCTCCTCTACTTGCATCCGTTTGCGCTCCGTACAAATGCGTTCAAACGGTTCCACGTTCTTTCTTATGGGAAAAAAGCGCTGACGTGACAATACAAAGCGAAAGGCCCAAGTCAGATCCTCCATAGAAGGGGGTGGCTGTCGATATTGGCCGTTGCCGTCGTGAGAAAATGCCTTTAGGTCCTCTCGGTACTCATGTGAACCGCTGGCCGTAGAATCAGGAAATGACGGGCATGTTGCTTCAATCATCTGCGCAATTTCGTGCTCCTTTAACCACTTTTGATGAATCTGTCGCAACCAGTGCGAGTAACGCCCACAGTGATCGCTGTACTCCAGGTGCGTCGCTGGGTCCAAGACACCGTGGTGAAGCTCGCGAATAAAATCATCATCAAATGGGGAAATAAGTCGCAGATACGGATAGAGTGGGCTGCACGGTCCTTCTGCCCTCTCGCAGGCAAGAAACATCGCGCAATGCACCTGATCCACAAACAAAGGGTGCGGTACGGGATCAAATGCGGTCTTTCTTAAACCCACAATGGACTCTATTGTCGCATAGGAAGGAACCCCGCGGCGTTGCGCAGCCAACGAATGACGCTGAAGAGTCTCGGAATTCAGGACAAGACCCCATGGAGCCAAAGCATGCGTGGCAGAGTTAACAGATTCCCCATCGAAATCGTCGTAATCAGTAGACGCATCGGTAAGGGGAACTGCCAAAATCACATCTCCCGCCTTAAATCCCTTGCGTGCGATTAAACCGCGTGT